GAGGCATCTTGTGAACCTGAAACCTGAGGTGCTCCAACCGGCTGATGGGTTCCTGGGGGAACTGTGCCTTGACTTGAGGTTTTAGCCGCGCTTGTTTGCGTAGCTGTTTCGGCTATTGATGCGGCTTTTGGCGGGGACTCTTGCATCGGAACAGGGGTCGCACGAGCTTGTTGGGTGAGCTGCGCAACAACACGTTCGAGATCACCAAGTCGTTGATGCGTCACAGAATTTTCCTGGGACAATCCACGAATGGTATGCTCTTGACTGGCAATGGTTCGCTCCCTTTGTAGGATTGCCTGTTGAGCCTCTTGAACAATGCGTTGAACCTCTTGCTGAGCGTCCTGTTGAGTGGCATTAACAACCTGTCGTGCGTTCTCGACATGGCCTAAGGCTTCCTGTCGTGTCTGCTCAATGAGTTGCCTAGCCTGAGCCTCACTTTGTTGTGCTGTTTGAACAGCCTGCTGTGCTTGTGAAGCTAGCTGAGCGGCCTGAACCCTAACGTCTGAAACTTCTCTTACAGCCCTTTCCCTGATCCATCCGGCCTCTTGTCTCGCCTGATCGGCGGCCTGCTGTTGATGCAAGGCGTGATTGGCTGCCTGAGCAGCGAGGTCGGATGCTCGATGAGCTTGCTGCACCGCAGCTCCAGCTATAAATGCCGCAGCGGGTACGTTAGTCATCGGGTCAGGTAATTGCGATCCCTGTGAAGGAAACTGAAAGACTGGGGAAGCTTCGGATGATGTCGGTTCTGACACGATCGGACCACTCGGGGGTGATGATGGTCGTGTTTGGGCTGCTCTTTGAGGTGTGGATGTGCGAACTGTGGACATAACTGCAGGAACCATGGCCAGGTCAGGGTCATCCGGTTCAGAATCCCTATTTGGGGTTGACCTTGAACGGGGTTCTGATGGCGGTGATAAGCCCGTTGAAGCCATGACACAGCAATGCAACTTTTGCACTCACACGAAGCTAGCTCCACGCGCTTTGAGCAGCGTGTCAAAAGGTGCTACGAGGAGATATCCCTGGATTGGCAGCTGGTTGCGAAACGCTCAAGTGAGCCACTCAAGAAAATACGTTGCGAAACGCTCAAGTGAGCCACTCAAGAAAATACGCCCTGCTGCTTTGCACCTGATGAATTCTGCATTTGTAATTGTACTTGTAGATTGATTGATCCGCACTGCCGCACTATGGTGCTTTATCGAGAGATGTTGCCAAGCTGTATTGAGAATTTGTCTGCAAATCGAAGGCTTGTAATTGCAAAAGCTGTACCGCGCAAAGCGACGGTTTTAACGGCTTGCAGCAATGGCTATCGAAGTACCCGGCTGGCGGGCAGCTGAGATGCAGATCGGTGGAGCTCCTCGAGGTACTGCGATGGATGCAGGCCCCTCGCCGCCGGAATAAATTGTCTGTTCCGGGATTCAATGAACTCACCGAGGTTCTCAAGTGCGTTGGCAAAGCCTCCCGGACCGAAGTGCGGAAAGTTGCGGAACGCCGCGATGCCTGTCTTTTGAGCTTCACGGACAATCGATGCTGTCTCGTCAATAAGGGCGTGTACGCCCAGCCCTTGCAGGGCGTCTGCTTTGCCTCCCCTTCCCAACCGTTCGTGAACGATTTTTATCGCAGAAAAAGTGAGTCCAGATGTTGTCCGCGCGTGCTCCAGGGCGACCTGAAATTCGCGGCGGCGATACTCGCTTGCAGCCCTGCCCACGAAGGATCGCACTATAAAATTTATAGGTGCGTAGTCCGCTGCAAACTGAACGAGATGTCGGATCACTTCCGGGTTGAGGTGGGGTCCCTGCTGCCCAACGTCAAGAACTCCGTGCCAGTCAAGAGCAACAACAAGCTCCTTGGGCGGCACCGGCCTTCCAGGCGGAGGTGGTGGCGGCGGGGGCGCAGGCGGTGCCCTCCTTGGTGGCGAGCGGAATCGCGTGCCAGCTTCGGGAGTTGCAGCGCTAGCAGCAGCTGCTTGAGCGACCTGCGGAGGTGGCGGCTTGACGATGTACCCGAATTGTGGCGGGTTTGAGCTCGATTTGCTTCTGGGTTCGGCCTTGTTCAAGCCTCGCGGAGGTGCCTTGTAACCGAATGCACTCTGAGTCCGAACCGGAGATCTGGCCCTTGGCGGTGACTTCCTCGGGATGTCTGCCTTTGCCGGCGCTGGAGAAACTGCCTTGGGGACCTCTTTGGGCACCGGTGGCTTGCTGCCGAAGATGACCTTGGGAGCGGCCTTTGGGGGCGGCGGTTGAACTGCCCCGATTCTTCGGCTGTGAAGCGCGATGGGCTCGGAGTGAGTCGGCGCCTCGTAAACGCGCCGAGGCACGTATGCTGACCTGCCCGTCCTGATGGACTCCGCGTCTTGCGGTGGGTCCTCGTCCGAGCTGTAGGCGTCGAGGCGGAAGGTTTCCGCGGGCGCCGGGCGGCGGTCAGGAGACCGTGAGCGTGAGCTCGTGGAGGACCTCCTTGGCGGGTCCCTCCACGTCTCGTCAGCGAGGAGGTAAGGATCGGCTTGGCGAAGCTGCCCAGACGTCCGTTGAGCTCGCCGATGAGGAGCCGCTTCACGTGGTTGTGATGCCTCCCGCACCAAAACCCAGGTGCCGTGTTCGTCAAACCTAGTCACAGGGTAGATGCTATTCTGTGGAGCCAAAACGATGGGCCGGGTGGCTAGGGAAGTCCTGGATGGCCTTCCCTCCCGCGCAAGCGCGGGTTCAACACTATGAGCCCTTTGTTCCACAGGGGCAGCAGCAGTTGGTCCTCGTCTCGGTGATGTTGATGGAGACCTCGACCTTCGTGGCGATGGGGACCTCGATCTTTGTGTTGACCGTTCCCTGCTGCTTTCCCGCCGCGTTTCCGCAGCTTTAGCGTATACCCCGCGAAGAGTTGACTTTGCGGCTTGTCTTTCCTCTGCAGATGGCCGAATGCGAGGCAAAGGAGTGCGCGAATCTTGCAACCTGCTAGGAGGAAGCTGATGGAGGCGTCGGAGGACGAAGCCAGTCCGCTGCACTGCTTGATGCTCCCGCCGCGCCTGAGGCTGCGGCTTGATCCTGAGATGGCGCACCCTGCGGCAATACCACTCCTGTGGTTTCAACCAATGCGAGACGCTGCTGATAAGCGTTGTCCGCGGCCTGGATCACGTCGAAGGCTTCTTGGTCAAAATTCCACAGGTGCCAACTATCCAGTGACTCACGCCAGGAGAAGAGCGCCTCGACCTGTTGCTTCGAGGCGTCCGCAAACCTGATCCACCGGAATCGTCTGTTCTGCCGCTTGTACTCGTCGACGACGATCTGTTGCAGAGTGTTGTACAATCGGGCACGCGGCCCTTTCCCACCGCGTGTGCCGCGGTGAGGGCCGACTTCCATGTGCGACCAACAGGTCGCAGTCACGAAATGGTTCGTTTACCCGAAAAGCGTTACGGCTGATAACCGCTCAAAGGAGAGGGAAACACAGTTCCTGCAGCCTCCATCGTAGCGTTAATTTTTGCTCCACCCCCTTTTCGCTACAGAAATCATGTTTCGTTACCTAAACCTGGAGTAGAACTTCAAATGCTTGCCTCGAGCACTTTTGAGAGAATCGAGCGGATTCATGATTTGGATACCTTGAAATGCCGCACCCGATATATTTTGGTTGCTCAGCCTGTTGCATCACTCGATTCGGGGCATTTCGCCTCAGCCTGACCCTGTGCGCCCGGTGTTTGTGTGCGCGTGTGTGTTTGTGCATTCGAAGATGCTGTCCAGCTTGTGCAGCATGAAGTGGAGGGACCTGAGCTGCGGCAGTTTTTCAGACTCACAAACCCTCTCACAGGTACAGCCGGTGCAGAATATGATGGTGGACCTGTCTGCCAAGATCCGGAAACTCCATTAGGTATGCTCGGCATGTTGGCGTCCCAAGTGCTGTGGCGTTGACGCTTTCCGTAAAAAGCAGGCGGCGCTGGCGAAAGTGAACATCACTGACCTCCACCAGGCCTGACCTTGTCGGTCACGGACACGCACGCTATTCGAGAATTTCGCGCGGTGTGCAGCCCTTTTCTTTTGCCTTCGTCAGGCTGGTCGTGGTGGGCGCTGGGTGCCTTGAGCAAGGCGGGGTTGTTGCTCTGCCAGCGCAGCCACTCATCAGCAAACAACGAGCGCTTGTGACAAAGTGCCATTGTGGTAATTGTGGCGATGTGTGTTTCGTCGCTGGAGTTGGTTGGCTCTTTGGATCTTATCACTAACGGCTTGGAACTCGTCAGCGGCATTTGGCTTTTGCGGCGCTGGGGTTGAGGGTTCACCATGGCCTCGCCCGTTGTGGCAGATTGGATGAACCACCGCGTGTTAGTGAACAGGGCTGAGCTTGGCCAGATCCTGGTAGTCACTGATGCTGGCACCCTCTCCCGGAAGGACTTGGTTGGGAATTCCGAGGCCCTGATTCCAATCCTCAAACACATGGGCTTGCGACCATCCATCGACCTGATCAGCTTGCAGCTGGACATGTTCTTCTACTGGGCAAGGCCTAGGGGAAGACCGAATGTGCCACGACCCTTTGCAGCTTTAGCCATGCTATTTCTTTTTAGCGTTCAGTTCGAATCGGTGAAAGCCTACAGTTCAAGTTAAAACAGCTAAGGACATGTTGTGAGAACACAAGCGTGGATCTTGAAACGGCTTGTGACAATATTTTCTCGCGGGGCAAAACGTGGACACTATCCGCGAGAACAAGGAGTGCGAGACATATACACGGCTGCCGAGATTCCATTGCCGTCTGACCCACGTAGCTTGGCCCTTGCCATTTTTTAGTAAGGTAGAGCTTCAGGAAGTGACTTTACTAAGGAGGTTCCTATGACGGCTCTGACTCTGACACTGTTACTCGGCGATTGCAAACAGCTGCATTTCTGAACGCTCCCTGTACGTTTAGATTTCCTTCCTTGTGCCCAGGAACATGAGCTTGAGGAGCTTAGTACGGAGGCTTCGAACGGCTTCTGGGCTCAGCAAAACTGCAAACATGTGTTTATCCAAAAGCTAGGCTTGGGTCCCCACCTTTCTCCGCAGCCAAGGTTGCGGCAATGTGGCCTCGCAAGAGGATAGCGAATGCGAGTCCGATGCAGCAGGGGTGCCTGAGGATGGTTGTGAAGAAGAGTCTCATGAAGTTTGTAGCCAGCAAGGCAACCATGCCGCAATCAATGAGGAGGAAACCCCTGCGCCTGCACCTCCGACCAGCAAGGCCTTGGAAATTGCTTTTCAAGAAACACCATACCTGCCGCCCAAAGCTTCGGAACCTTGTGGCCATGAGATCGAGCTTGATGAGACCCCTTGCATTTCTCCGCCTACTAACCCAGAGCATGCTGAGACTTTCATTACTCCGTCCCCCAAAAGAACCTCGATTGCAAAGATTGCTTGGGCGTTCAAATTCCAGGAGTGAAGCTGTCAACATTATATATGTTGGTTGTTGGCTTGCCGAGGACTGATCTTCGATGAGCTACAAAGCACTGAGAAGCTTGGGGTGGTTCGTTCGGAATGCAAGACTCTCAATTCTAAGAAGGAACTCGCTCAGGAACCGATTGACTTGGAGTTGGAGTTGGCCCTGAGTGCCGAAATGGAAGAGTTGGTCAGGATTGAGCAACAACTTGAGATAGAAGAGGTTGAAGCCGAGCTGCTGCAATTGCTTGATGAAGAGGCCCTGCTCAAAGAAACGATGAACCTTGAACAGTTGGAAAGGCAACTGCATGCTAGCGATCTCTCAGAAGTTGATGCGGCCATGGTGGCAGTGCAGCACAACAAAGCTGCGCGTGCCGGACCCTATGACCAGAGCGAAATCTTTGACAAGGGCGAACGATCGCTACTAAACAGCACCATCCCAGCCTCCAGCGGACTGGCCCCAAGTGCCCTGGAAAGAACCTTAGCCATTCATAACTGTTTGATTCACGCACAAGCGCTGCCACACAAATGCGTATAACATGACTGCGTGCACCAAGGCGCCATGTGCATGGACAACATGGACACGCTCCCCTTCCAAGCGGGTTCCGAAAATGTTGAGAGTTGCCTGGCGGTACCGGTGACTCCATCCCCATCCGATCCCATTGCCCCAGTTCAGCAAACTGCCGACCCCGCGGCTCCAGGCCAAGGCAGCTCCAAGCCTCAGGGCCGGCCAGCAGGTAGCGCAAGCAAGGGCAAGATGGGGGGGCTACGCGAATTCCCAAAGCCGCCCAGCATTCTTGCTGAGCTACCTGTGATTTCGCCAGAGCAGCAATTATCCATGGCAAGCAGGGGAGAGGACAAAGAGAGCGAGGGTGAAAACAATGCCGATGATGATCAGGAATCTGGTGGCCAGTCAGGCCGTGGCCGCGGGCGAGGCCGGAGTGGCCGAGGCAAAGACACGCAAGGCAGCAAGGCAGCCAAGAGCAAACAAAGAAAACGCAAGAGTTCTGCTGCAGGCATCCCCGCACATGATGCATCCAGGCAGGGCGCCAGCAGTGGCAAACTATCCAACCCGCGCCAGAGAAAGGGCACACACGCGCAGCCGGACCAAGATTCCACGCAGGGCCGCGCAAAGCGCTGCCGCGGGGCAGCTGACGGCAACCAAGCAGCACCAGCCAAGCCCAGCCCCCGTCCAAAGCGCCAGCCTGCCCGTCCAGTGCGAGAACCAGCTCCCGCAGCACCAGCTGATCGCAACCAAGCAGCAGCAGCCAAGGCCAGCCCCCGTCCAAAGCGCCAGCCTGCCCCTCCAGCGCGAGAACCAGCTTCAGAAGCACCCGCGCCGCCTCCCGTAGCAGCGCCTCCTGCAGTTCCCAGAGCAGGCCGCCCTCGCAACCCAGCCAGCTCAGAGGAGAGAAAAGCCAAAGCGAGCAGAAAAAGCTCCGCCTACCATGTTGCCAGGATGCAGGCAATCCGTGAAGGGCTTTCAGAGGAGGAAGCAAAGTCCAAGGGCAAGGAAGTCTCTTAGCAAAATTCTTGGGCCAAATTTGATAAACACATTACAGCTTAGTTTTTGTAGCATTCTTAGCCAATTAGGTGCGCGTGGGTCCAGGGGGGGCTGTCCGAAGCTGAGGCCTACGCCGCGACGCAGTGATCCCATCTGCTTTTACATGATTTGGCCAAGTGCCGCAATAAACGTTCGGGGCTTCACACGTGCATTACGTTGCACTTTGGCCTGCGTTGGGGCTGCGCAGCAGCGCCCCATTCTGCCGGGTGTGAAAGAACACGTGTGCTTCAAGGGGTTGTGATTTAGATCATGCCGGCAAGCAGCGATGATCTGGAACAAAGCAAGCGCGACGTTGGAAGGTCAGCGGTGCTCTGTGCCAACATGTTGCGCAGTTGGTGAATTTTGATTTCCCTGTAAAACCATCCCAAAAGGGTCCCTCACCCAGGTGGGGGTTGATCAACATTCCTTTGAGGGCCCCCGAAAAGCTGGCAGTTTAGGAGGAGACATGTTTCGATTACCGCTCAAAAGCCGCCTTCGCAGGCCCAACATGGTGAAGTCTGAGGGCTGGGCCATCCGAGCAGGCGTGGTCAGCTGGGGCAGGGCTCCTGTCGCAAGGGGTCGTTGCAGCTAGGGGCTTTGATGGCCACCCTTATGAGTTAGTGACAGGTTCCTAGCACCCCAGCTGCATGTGCAAGGTGAAGCGTGCTGGCCGCAAATGCGTTTCAGCCATTTGGGATCAGGTTGGAAGCCCACGTCTTTTCACAGCCTCCGGCCCCTTGCCGTTATGGAGCATGAGAGCCTTGTTATGAACCTGGCCCAGGTAGGGGCTCCCAAGGCCTGTCTCTGCTTGTCCAACTTGCAGTTGACTCAGCAACATGCGCGACCCTGCCCCTGCCCCTGCCAGATTTTGATCGCTGTGGTCCTGGGCCTGCTTTGGTCAAAAAACCTACCTCCGGTCATGCCTCGATATCACATGATGGATCTTTTTTGCGGGGAGGCGCAGGCCAGTAAATCTTGGCCACTTGGTTACAAATGTCAGCAGGTTGATGCGTGGGAGCTTGCTTGAAACAAGTGCTCACGTTGGAATCGTCAGGTCTGCCAAGGGCTATGCTGTGGCATCGTTTGACCGGTTGCTCTGCCCCGGAAGCAGAACCATGGACTTCACTTCGGCCCCAGGCTTTTTGTAGCCTAGCTGCAACGCTGGCAATTGCGCACTAAGTTTGAGATAGAGACATAGCCGCCCTTGACCGGCAATAAGGTGTGTTCTGCACGCCGCGCTATGCTTGCTCCCGGAAGCACTTTGCTTGGCCGGTCCTTGCTGTGCCAGCTGGGGAATGCCCGCCAGATCAACCAGCCAAAGGAACTACATGAACACCGTTGGTGCGCAGCACCTTCCTTTCGTCAATGAGTCCAATGTGTCCATATCGCGGATTCTGGGCTTGACCCGGTCTTCAATAAAGTTGGGGGCGACAAACGGTCGGTGGGCCATGTGATTCTACCCGGAAACTCTTAGAAAAAAACAGGGACCCTTCTCGGTACATCTGAACCTGCGCTCTCTGAGGGACGTAAACAATCATGTTTCAAGCAAAAAAGCGTTTTCACCCCACGGTTTGCTTTTGCGCATATTGTTTCCAGAGCGGTTGAGGGGCGCGGGCGGCACTGGCAGCAGCCCTGAGATACAAAACGAAGAAGGGCATCTGTTTGGGGGCGGGGTATTTTTGAGGACACGTAAAAGGCGTCCGCTTGGGTGGCTTTGGTCAGCGACCTCATTTCCCATTTCGGGGGCAAGTGATGGCATCCTTGGGGGGGGGGGGGTACACAAACAAAAAACATCCGCTTGGGTTGGATTGAGGGCAAACGATGATATCTGTTTGGGGGGGGGGGGGGCGTTGCGAAAAAAAAACAAAAGGCTTTGCTCAGCGCCCCAAATTCCATTTCGGGGGCAAACTATGGCATCCGTTTGGGGGGCATTACGAAAAAGACAAAAAACATCCGCTTAGGGGTGGCTCTGCGGGCAAATGATGGCATCCTGGGGGTGTTACGAAAAACAGCAAATAGCACCCGCTTGAGGTGGCTTTGTACTTTGGTCAGTCTCAGGTTCCGCAACACCTAGATAGTTTTTTTACAACAAGGCTCGCAACATCTGGGGGGCCCTCTGTTTGGCGGTCTTGGCTAACTTTCCTTTGGCAGGGGGATGCTCCGAATTTTGCTACCCCCTGTTGTGGTTCAACTCACGTGGGTTGGATTTTGGTACCTGTCAGCAAAACCAGGTTGACCCTTGTGTGCTTCCTCCTACTGGCCAAGCATTGCTACTTTGTGGTGGAGCACCCCTCCCAAACGTTGCTGGCACGCCATTGGCGATGGGAACACTTCATGAATGTCACCTGCTACGCGACTTGTCTTACGCTAGTGTTCTGCTTCCTGAAAGCGACTCGTTTGGAGTGACCCTCCTTGGGGGCCCAACACGGTTTAACCTTTTTGAAGCAGTTTGACTTTGGTGCGTCGCTTGATGCCTTCCGCCAATTGCTTGCATGTGCGTTGCTTCCAACCCTATAAAGTTGCAATTGATGTTCGGGCGTGACCGATCCCTTGGAGGTGCATCTACAACCACGTTGCCAAAAGTCCTTGTTACATTTTTGGGGGGTCAACCATACCCCGGGCATCAGGAAGAGCAATATCTGGCGGCGGGTTCCCCTTTCGTCCTGAAAACCTTAGGGTCTGATGTTTGCCGCCCTTTCCCCTTGACAATCTGCAGGTTTGATGTTTACCTTCCTTTCCCTGTGATTTCAGGGGTGATTTTGTGGAGTGGTTTTGGGGGGTGACTTTGAGGGGTGATTTTCAGGGGTGATTTTGAGGGGTGGTTTTAAAGGGGTGATTTTGAGGGGTTATTTTGAGGGGTGGTTTTGAGGGGTGATTTTGAGGGGTGGTTTTAAAGGGGTGATTTTGAGGGGTGGTTTTGAGGAGTGATTTTGAGGGGTGGTTTTGAGAGGTGGTTCCGAGTGATTTTGACCCCTCAAAAAGGAAGGTGTGATATTGAGGGGTGCCCCCGAAAACCTTAAGGTTTTATGCTTCCCCCCTTCCCTTTTGGCAGCCCCTGAAAACCTGAAGGTCTGCTGGTTGCCCCCCTCTCCCTTTTGGCAGCCACTGAAAATCTTAAGGTCTCATGTTTGCCCCCTTTCCTTTTTGGCAGCCCCTGAAAACCTTAAGGTCTCGTGTTTGCCCCCTTTTCCTTTTTGGCAGCCCATGAAAACCTGAAAGTCTCATGTTTGCTCCCCTTTCCCTTTTGGCAGCCCTGAAAACCTGAAGGTCTGCTGGTTGCCCCCCTCTCCCTTTTGGCAGCCACTGAAAACCTTAAGGTCTCGTGTTTGCCCCCCTTTCCTTTTTGGCAGCCCCTGAAAACCTTAAGGTCTCGTGTTTGCCCCCCCTTTCCTTTTTGGCAGCCCCTGAAAACCTTAAGGTCTCGTGTTTGCCCCCCCTTTCCTTTTTGGCAGCCCCTGAAAACCTTAAGGTCTCGTGTTTGCCCCCCCTTTCCTTTTTGGCAGCCCCTGAAAACCTTAAGGTCTCGTGTTTGCCCCCCCTTTCCTTTTTGGCAGCCCCTGAACACCTTAAGGTCTCGTGTTTGCCCCCCCTTTCCCTTTTTTGGCAGCCCCTGAAAACCTGAAGGTCTCATGTTTGCCCCCTTTCCCTTGTGCAGGAACAACATCTAGTGAGGTCCCCCTTTAAGCATGACATGAAACAGGGTACTAATTTAGTACCCGTTTGAGGGTGGATGTCTTGGATCGTTGCCGGGGTGGGGGCCAGGGGTGCAAGCACGAAAAATACAAAAGCCAGCTCCCTTGGTATTTCCTGGACCTCGGAACCAATTTGAATGTCATGGGAGCGGTGCGTTTTGTCTTTGAGCAAGTTGGGGTTCGTATTAAATGTTAAACAGCTCGAGTGCTGCCCAGTTCTTCCTAAACATGGCCACCCCCGTCCCCCCCCTTGCCCAGACCTACTACGTCCGCTTCTGGATGCTTCACCACGGCGGTGGGTCCAGCAAAAGGACAATCGTCTACACGAATGTGGCCTGGGCAGCCGGGCTGGACAAAGGCAGACTCAGCAAAGAGGAGAAGCTTGAAAGGACAACGTTGAAGCCTGTGAGCCTGAGGGAAGACAATCGCCAAAAGTGGGCGCAAACAATTCACCGGGACGGGCGACCTGGTCAAAACAGGGTGAGACGCTCAGTTGACTCTTGCATGCTGGCTGGTGCCTAGCCAACCGCCGCGCCAAGGGCTTATCCACAGGGATTTGTGGTGGAGCTCTTGAAGCTTTGGGAACAGCGTGCAAGTTTGCGGCCCTCTCTGCGACACAAGAAGGATTGCAACCTTGCACTGTCCGATAAGGACCTTTTCTCATCTATGTCCCTGGGGGACACTTGGATGGACTCCAAGATTCATTTGGCCTGGGCTTACTTGTACCGGAATAAACATCTTGAGATCCCAGACAGCTGGGTGGATGCCATGAAGTCTTTCAACCGTGAGTTGATGCAACGTGTTTCTTGGCTGCGTACAAATGTGTCCCTCAAAGGCGCGACTCAATGAGCCCAGTGACCCTTCCCGAGGTTTCCATCCCTGCTGAAGACTGGGAAGCTCTGAATCAGGCAATAGCTGAAAGCCAGAACAGTGCTTAGTCAGTGCAAATTCGACCAATATTGCTGGTTTGTGGCCGTTTTGCGTTCGGAGTCCAACATTTGTGCACATTTGGGCCCCAGAAAAAGTGCAAAAAAAGTGCAAAACGGGCGCAAATCCGCGCAAAAAAGTGCAAAAGGGCGCAAATTCAAAAAACGTAGCGAAAGGGTTTTGGCCGAATCGGGCAGAATTGCTTTTTGGGGACGTGCGCCGGATTGCAGTGAGCGGGGGATCAAGCATCGCGCGCGTTTGGCATGTCATTTTCTAGACTTACATCTTGTGGAACTCTAGCTGGAGGGTGCCGCGTCATGGAGGGAAAGGTCTTGCAGTCTGGGGCCGTGGACATAGACGCCACAAAAGAGCGCATCAAGGCAGGGCATTGCAAATTGCAACTGGTCCCCAGCTGCCCGTTTGTAAGCTCAAACTGGCGCGCAGGCTTCAAGGCAAAGAATTGCGGAACTTCAGCAGAAGCTGGCTGCCCGCAATTCGGGGAAGGAGCTACCTGCTACTACATTGCCAGGCAAGGTTTTGCAAGTCTACTACCATTCGGGGCCTAAAAGCTTGTCACAAGGGCCTACTTGAAACCAACAGCTCTCAATTTCTCACGCGCTCTTAACCAGCGAAGGTGCGCCAGCGTTTGAATCCTCCGCGGGGGAGTTTGTGCCCGGCAATAATGTTCAAACTTTGACGGCCGCTCACCTGGAGAAGATACCCCCTGAGGCCACTTCCTTGGCGGCCACGGACACGGTTTCCCGAACCGAAACAAGAACTAGTGAAATTGACAGTTGTTGGAGGTGGGAAATGCTTCAAGAAGAGAAAGCAGAGAGGGAGCGGCTAAGGGCCATGCGTGATGCTGGCCAGGATGACCACACACCCACACCTGCAGGCGAAGTGAAAGCGCACCAGTGCGATCCTACATCGGCACCTACGGTCCCAACACCTGTTGACAAGACACAGAAGGCTGCTGGGGTTTCCAAGTCAGACCATCCAAGCGATCCCGCTGATGTGCTTCAGGCTGTTGCAGAGGTTAAAGAGGTGGCTTGTGAAACGGCTTCCTTGGAACAGGGGCCTGCTGCGGTGGACCAGGTGGCTTGTGAAACGGCTTCCTTGGAACAGGGGCCTGCTGCGGTGGACCAGGTGGCTTGTGAAACGGCTTCCTTGGAACAGGGGCCTGCTGCGGTGGACCAGGGGACCAATGAGAAGGGAATTGCGGGAGATGACAAACAGCAGAACAAACCCAAAGAGCCTGAAGATGGGGAGGATAGTGAAGACGCTTCAACTATTCCTTTGGGCTTTTCCCCCAACGAGTCCTGCGAGAACTCTACAAACAAATTTGACAAATGGTACCACAAGCGCCTTTTCCGGCTTGGCAGGGCTTTACGTACTTTAATTTTCATGATGTTTCGAGTTGCCCCGGGCTAGCGACCAAACTTCTGACCAAGGGCGCCTGATTGCCAAGGTGCCGACGCTACATTCACGGCAAGAAGAGCAAAGCGTCAAAGGAGCTGATGCAACTCTTCAATGGGGGAGACTCGGACCGTGCCCGGCAGCACTATAGTTCGATAGCTGCAAACTGCATAGTATCATACGTGTGTGTTGTGGCAGCTTCCCAAGGTGAAAAGCTCAAGGGTCTCTTGAAGAAGCATGGCACATTCAAGGATGTTGAACTGCATCTTTCGAAATGGTCTCGGAAGTCACACGGTGATGGCAAAAAGGGAAGGTGGGTGACCAAGACATTCCTGAAGGATGAGTGCCACTACAGTGAGACACTTTGCTGCATGTCCACTTTACAGTGCCCGTCGCGGGGTTAATCCAATTTTCCAATTAACTGGGCCTCCAAAACAAAACACTCGGCCGACCCCACAAATTGCCAACTTTGCTCTTGGTTTCCTTCATGAGCAGCTCACATGTTTCTTTTTTCGGTGACTGCGCTTTGCGGGTTGGCTGTATGGCCAACCCAGCATCACAGCAACACATCCTTCCCACGAGGGGCGTTCCTTTAACCTCCAGACTGGAAGCATAAATGAACACCCCCTTCCCTCCCAGCATCCCCAGCAACATCCCCAGCATCACCAGCGACACCCCCAGCAACACCCCCAGCATCACCAACACCCCCAGCATCACCAGCAACCATGGGGGGCGTTCATTTAACCTCCAGACTGGAAGCTTAAATGAACGCCCCCTCCCCCAGCAACATCCCCAGCATCACTAGCAACGGGATGCCTATCAGGGCTACGTGCCGGACTTCGCAGTGGATTGGAGGGGTTGGGGAAAAAGATGTTTTTCCCCCACCCCTGTTCTGAAGCGCTCCTCTTTCTCTGGGGCGCAAGTAGCAGGGCCCCACTTCGGTTCCCTTCAAAGGGCCTTATTGAAGAATGATATGTGTTTCTTCTTTCTTTCTTTCGAAATTTATGCATTTTTGAGAAAGCTCAAAAGTTGCATTCGGAAATTTGCAAATCAAAGGGGCCCCCCTTTCCAATTGGAGCTCAACATTAAGCAGCGCAGTCGTTTGTTCATTAAGGGGGTTGAGCTGCGGCTTCTTTGAGAGCCAAGGACTATGATACAGAACAGCTGGTCATACGCTGCCGCTCAAGGCCTCCTTCGCCGCAACGAGGTCCATGGAGAAGAAGAGGCTCGCCTAATCCTGGAGGACTACTTTGAGAAGAAGAGCGAAAGCGGCCAAGAGCGGCGGAGTGCTGGGAGCACATTGGTCGAGGCTTGGGCTTTGGCTTTTGGGGACTTGGGAAAAACATTCCTCTTTCCTCAGGATGAGGATGATGCTCTCCTGGACTCTGACCCTGAGCCCGATCAGAACTTGCCCAAGGATCCGCAACTGCAGCAGGAAGCTGCCAAACAGGCAGCTGCTGCTGCCTCCGGTAACAAGAAGCTACTTACTCAGCATGTGTACAACATGTTGCAAGTCGGGCGTCACAATTCAACACAAGACTGCTGCGCTCAGGCTGCTTTTTCCCGCTCTCCAGAAGAACGACACGCCGTTTTCCATTTTGCCCTTGTGGCTTCAGGTGTTGGGCAAAAAAGTTGATGGAGCATCTGAAATTCAGGACTGAGCTCTGAGTGTCAATCTTAAGTGCGTTTGTCTTTCAGTCTTGGCCGAATGCAGGGTCAAAAGGCATCTACAAACAGTGCCCAATGGAAGCTTGATCGGGTTTAGACGTCAATAAAGCTTTAGGAGCGGCTTCTGGAAAAGAACATCGGACGTGCCACGGAGCAGCCTGACTGCACCTCAAGAAGAAAACAATGAAAAAGACACAGTTACGTCTGTACATATACTTCGCGGTCCGATCGTGTGAGCCGAAGGATGGCAAACTCAATGGCAACCATCCTGAAGCGAATGAACGAGTACTACACCTCTCTGAACACAGCGCAGGCAGACTTCATGTCCCTGGACCCGGCTGCGCCGCTTTGACCGGCTATTTTGGGGTTCATCTTCAGTGTTGGTGGGTTTTGCGCTCCTACGGGATAATGATGCTGCTGAAAAATTGAAGGCTCGAGTGACAAAGCTGTATGCCAGCTGCACCAAAGATGATGTCACCTTGAACAACTACATCTGCAGGAGCAAGAGCTTTGCCTGCAATGTTGTTGGGTTCGTTGACATCTTGCCCCAGCAACTCGAAAAGTTTTTCCAAGGAACATCCGTCCCGCAGCCAAGCCGGCCCCCTCCTCCACGTCGGGAAAGGCCCCGAAGCCGAAGCCAAAATGCAAGGCTGAAGAGCCTGACACCGCCCGGGCAGAGAATCCCAAAAAGCGAAAGCGCTCCAAGAATCCTAAAAGTGAGCCAGATGCTGAGCCGGCTGATCCCGAGGCCGCAAAGCAGCCAAAGGTGAGAAAGGAGCCCAGCGAAAAGGGTCCCAAGGCTAAGAACGAGCCCAAGGATTGCAAACCCACCAAGTAGTGTCTTTTTACAAGACCCGTCACATCCCATTTTGATTGGAGGGCCTGGCGTGTGATTGCAGTTCTAACACCTAGGGTGTCATGTTGTAGTTGATGTGGCCTAGGCTTTCCAATGTAGGGATTGAGGTGCGGAGCCACGCGTCCCGAGTCAAAAAGGCCATGATGCGCACCGTGGCAAGCGCGAAGGGGTGCTCTTTTGTGTTCTCAAAACATGGCTCCGCAAATGCGCTGCCAGGCCTCAACCTTCTCGACGAGCGCAACTCAGCCCAAGGCCTTGCCGGGAGATGACAACACCCCAACTTGGGGTATTGTAATTCACTTCAGTTCTGACCCCCAAATCGGTGTTGGCTGGGTTGGTGGGTGGGCGGGAAGGTGCATCAAAGCTTGGCTAGTTTAGCCTCTACAGGTTGTTTGGTTAAACTGTGCGTTTGTTTACCTGCTGGTTGGATTTTTGGTTTTTGTCGGGTTCCTTCCTTGGGTGTAACTACTGTTTGGTTGGTCGGATGAACTCTTTTGTGGCTGCTCTTGGTGGTGGTGGTGGTGGTGGTGGTTGTGGTGGCGGCGTTTGTGTTGGTGTTTGTGTTGGTGCTGTTGCGGTTGATGTTGATATTGCTATTGCTGCTGCTGCTGCTGCTGCTGCTCCTGCTGCTGCTGTTGTTGTTGCTGCTGTCTGTTGCTGTTGCTGTCGCTCTTGCTGTTGCTGTCGCTCTTGCTGTTGCTGCTGCTGCTGCTGCTCTTGCTGTTGCTGCTGCTGCTGCTCTTGCTGTTGCTGCTGCTGCTGCTGCTGCTGCTGCTGCTGCTGCTGCTGCTGCTGCTGCTGCTGCTGCTGCTGCTGCTGCTGTTGTTGTTGTTGTTGTTGTTGTTGTTGTTGTTGTTGTTGTTGTTGTTGTTGTTGTTGTTGTTGTTGTTGTTGTTGTTGTTGTTGTTGTTGTTGTTGTTGTTGTTGTTGTTGTTGTTGTTGTTGTTGTTGTTGTTGTTGTTGTTGTTGTGGTGGTGGTGGTGGTGGTGGTGGTGGTGGTGGTCGTGGTCGTGGTCGTGGTCGTGGTCGGCGTCGTCGTCGCTGCTGTTGCTGTCGCTGCCGCTGTCGCTGTCGCTGTCGCTGTTGCTGTTGCTGCTGCTGCTGCTGCTGCTGCTGCTGCTGCTGTGGCTGTCGTCATCGTCGTCGTCGCTGTTGCTGATGTTGAAGATGAAGTTGTTGCCACTGTCGCTTTTGCTGCTGGTGGCTTGGGTGGTTTTGTAGTGGCTTTGTACCCCCTGCAACCGTGGTTGTTGTTGTTGTTGTTGTTGCTGCTGTTGCTGTTGCTGTTACTGATCGTGCTTGAATTTCTTGTTGGGTTGGTGCCAGGAGGATCTGACAGTTCATCGTCTGAGACGGATGATCTGCTGGATTCTTTCCTGCGTGACTTGGAGGAAGGAGCTGCTCGACCTCGAAAGGGTTTGACCAAACCAGCTTCATTTCAATGTAGCAAGAAGCTAAACGGCGCTCCTAGGCCTCTGCAAAGTCTGCAGTGCGAACGGCAGCAGTGGCAGCCAACCGCATGAGAAAGCTAGGCGCTGGCTGGTGTTGGGTTTGGAACATTTTTTCAAACAAGCGATGATAAGGCTTTTTTGGGTGAATGGGGTGAGGTTTAGAAAGCGCCCATAAACTTTGCAGATCCATCAACCCCCAACCAACCAATCAAACCACAAGCAGGGTCCCACGCCCATAACCACCCTCGATTGTTGTAGTGTTTGGAACCTTTTCAGTCACCTGGGAGGCGTTGTGGACTTGGAAATTGAAAAGCTTGCCCGCTTCCGGAGATCCCGCACTGGAAGGAAACGTGGCCACAACGCAGCCCGAGATTTTCATCGCTGGGCCCACCGAGCTGGCCACGCCTTCCCTGTCCGACTGTCACACGTGCCCATTACCATCCACAAAAGGCTGCCCGTGAAGTCTGGAAGAAAAGCCCGTGATGTTCCAGTTGACTATCCAGTTCTTCATTTGTCCAGCTGGCTTGCCTCCCTCATGGAGAAGTTCCCAAAGTTCCTATTGGGAGGGCACAACCCTGCGCTTGGTGCCGAGCCGTACGAAGAGATGTTCGAGCAGTTCTGGTGCAAGTTCAAATCTGCTAACAGCAGTCACCCGATCTACAGCCGCATGAGTGCCGAGCAACGGCGCAGGGCAATACCATTTGCCCTCCATGGAGATGAGGGACGAGGGTTGGCGAAAGTCCCCCTCCTCATCATGTCTTTCCAGGTTCTCATCCCCTACTCGGGGCCGGACCAGTTGAACCTCAACAAGCAACTCGATGAAACTCGATGAAATGCAAAGAAAGATCCCACTACATTTAAGTTTTTTGCATTCCGCCAACTCCGCGCAAGGCACTCGTTTAGCACGCGGCTACTGTATAGCGTTATGCCCGCCAACTGGTATGCGGCCAATGATGCCTCCATTGATGGATTACATGAAGGGATGGCGTCTGATCTCATCAAGCTGTTTGAAGAAGGAGTTGCAGTGGAAGCTCCAAGGCCCAAAAACACGGTCATGCATGCGTTTCTCCCCTGCGTGCGCGAACTCATGACCACACACGTACCTAAATAAGGTTGCGGGAGAGACAAAGCACTTCTTCGCCGTGATGGCGGGGGCGAAGGGCGATTGGCCTTGGTTGAGAAAAAGTTTCGGATTGCAGGTTGGATTTACCAGCACAAGGGTTTGTCATCTATGTCCAAGCGAAGTACCTTGGCCCTTGGTCGTTTTTGTTTGCGCTTGCACTACGGAAGCACTAGGTTTTAAGAAATGCTGTTTGTGTTTGTTGCAAAAACTGAATCTGTTCTCCAGGTATCCTTTTTGGCCTTATGCGGAATTGTCCTGAAATTGCAACCATACTCAGGATTGGTGGGATTTGTCTGCTTCCGGCCAAGCACGTGCTTGGGAGGGGGTGGCAGGATCTCCCTTTAAGCAAAAGGTCTCACCGCTTCGCCAAGTGCCGGGCCTCCAAGATGTGGATGCCATCAAGCCCGACCTGATGCATGTGTTCAACCTGGGGTTTGGCGGGGACATGGCGTCATCCACCTTGGTGGCCCTGACCCGCCTCAAGCTCTTTGATGGTCGCAACATCCCGGAACGCTTGGGAGCAGCCTTTCTGATGTTTGACGACTGGTGCCGCCAGAACCATAAGACTAGTTCAATCAAGGAGTTTGCCCTCAAGAAGTTTAAAATGACATCGCCCCTTGGTTGTGGTCAAGTTTTTCGCCCTACTATAGTAGTCACAGTTGGCGTTTTGCTTCCTTTGTTTCGGCGTCCCAGGATGAATGTCTACCCGAAGGGCTGCGGGAAAGCACATGACACTGCACTACTCTGCAAGTGGTTGGCTTACGAACTGAGCTTGACAGAAAATCTGGCCAAGATTGCTCCATGGACTGTTTAGCTGAAATTGTTTGTTTCAGGGCTTCTTCCGTGCACCCAAGTTTTTGTTTTTCCGAGGACAATTTTTGTGGAAAGTAGGGATCCCTCACCCTCCTAACATTCTCGAGTTTCACACACACGTGATTTTGGGGATGGTTTTTAAGGAAACACATTGGTGCCTAAGGAAGCCGTGGACCGCAATCTTGTGGAGTTGATGAAGTGGGCCCTCTTGGCGGCCAACACTTTTTTTAGCTTGCTGCATGGGGCTGGTTTGTGGCTCGATAGGGACACGGCCTCTGCAGTTGTGTATTATGGCTATGCTCTAGGAGCCCCTTGATTGCGCAAAGACGTGTGGCGCAGCGTTTGGCTGCAATATGTTTGGGAGCGCAGTAAGGAAGCATACACTGGCCTTGCAAGCTATTGCGCCGGGAAGCAGTGGAAACTCTACAAGCTTCGGCCAAAGATACATCTCTTTCCGCACATCTTGCCGCTAGGCTATGTTTTGCAACATGTTTTCCATTTTGCAATGGAGAAGTTTAACCAATCGAGGAACCCGCTTCGAAACCAACTACGCGATGAATCATCTTGCGCCATCTTGAGCCCGCTCACCTGGGCATGTTGGACGGATGAAGACTATGTAGGAAAATTGTCTCGGCTGGCGCGAAGGCTGAATGCTTCCCAGCTCATTGTCACCCGTGTGATGACTAGGAGTTTGATGAAGTATTCGCGGTACTTCACCGCCAGGATGCAATGAGTTTCCCCCGCAGAAGAAACTAGCTGTATAGATCTCAAAACGACAAATTGCATTCTGGGCTCCCCGGCTCAGAGCTCCAGGCTGGGTAGGATGATGTGTGTGTGCGCGGGCTGTGCTGTGCCTGCAGGTTTAAGATCCTGAGCAAAGGCCTCGAGCGCTTTTGGGAGAAACGAGCGCAAATTCTGGAAGGCCCTATAAGCCAGTTTCCCGAGCAAAAAAAGCACGTAGCACAAATTAATGTATCATTGGAGGTCACAGGTTTTGTCAACAACGGGGGAACCCGGGACCTTAAAAGGAACGAACCCCTCCGTGACTGCGACCTCTCCCTTAACCTTGGGGCTAGCGCGGTGCAACGCGCTGTTTTCAGCACTTGAGCCAAAGCAGTGATTGAATCATGCTTTGGCAATCACTTGAATGTACAACATGCAACTGACTACATGGGGACCTACCTCATGTACCTCTGGGCCATAAATGTCATCGTGATAATTGACTAATGAAGATGCAGGCGCACCCAAATAGCTGTCTTCCTGTTCGTCTTTCAAACTCACGCGTAGCGAGGTACCAACCCAAAGACACGCCCGAACGAATCCCCAGGACTGAGGCCGCAGACTAAAGCGATAGGCACCGCACGGCGATGTACCTGTCGGACGCATGCGCACAAAGCGCGTTGCGCGCATGCGTAAATTCGTTCATAGCTAGCAGGGAAGTGACCTGAGACAAGCTGCAAGAGATGCATAATGCTTCAAATATACATTATATATATTATGTCAGTTCTGCGTGTGTCTGTGTATATACGCTTGAATAGCACAAACCGAATGAAAGTGACGTTGCCATGACCCATGAACGCCGTATTTTAATCGTGAGTGGACCTGTAGGCAAGCCTCCGGAACAGTGTTGCTCATTCAACAAGAGGTGCCGTGCTAGGTAGGGAAGCCAAAGCCGTTGGATTAGTTGGGTTGCACCCTCGCTTGCAACGGGCCACCGAAGCCCGTGCACCAACAGGTTCCTGAGCTTCTTGGAGTCTTGGAGGAGCATCCATGAGATTAGTTTACATTGGATCAGTCTCAATCAAACAACCTGGTATTAGCTATTCCAATGGCCTACCCGAAGCTAAGCAAAGAATCGAAAGGGTGGAATTTTGCACGTGTTTCTGGATTACCGCCGACCCAACTTGGCCCTTAGCCATTCTGGCTATCTTTCCTGGACGTGCAAGCAAGTATGGCGAATGGAAACCAAAGAAAGCTTCATCGAGTTGGTTGAGATTTGCCAAATCGAAAGACATGCGTCATACTGAGTCAAAGACACAACTTGAAGGGAAACATCAAGAACCTACATGGAACATACTGCAGAGGACCGCTCTTGGTATCCACACCATGGCTGTTTGTGGCAATGGCTTACGCCAAATCTTCCATCCACCCCAGGGCCCCCAGTAGCGCACCTGTGCTGGAGATGGAGGCTCGCCTCCGACGAAAAACAAGTTTTCGGGGCAGCGACAAAAATGGTGCGGTTTCCGTTTGAGTTTCCATTCAAGCTATCCCAAAGATATTACCCTCAAATGACACACCCATCTTGCTTGCCAAGACCAAAGGATCCCCAGCAAGTTGACTGTTCGCAGGTCAAAAGGGCAAAGAAGGAAACCCAGAAATAAAAACGATAAGTTCAGTCTGATAGTTATTGTTGTTCTCAGCAGCATGGATGGCTTCCATGGCCATTTTGGCCCGTCGGTACATCAGAGCCATGACAAGTTCCTTTCAAAACCAACAAACTTGCATATCCGATGATATCCCGACATCCGCGATTCAGGAAGAAGACATCCACCAATCCGGGATCCAGTGCCCCGTGGCCCTGGTTAAAAAAGGGGCCCCAATAATCAGGGCGTTGTGCTTTTGCCTGGACCAACGTGGCGGGTTTTTCGGTGCAAAGCTTCAAGGAAGCATCCTGAAATTGAAAAGACCGGGCCTCACCTGCGCCATTGGCTGCCTGGAAATGGGACTGGTAATTACATTCCGTTGTGTCTTGAAGCCCTCGTAACCGAGGAAACAAAGCGCCGGGTGCTAGATAGAAGGGTCTGACAAAACACGCCCGCCCTCCTTTTGGAAAAATGACACAACATGCGTTAAGCTATCCTTCTCGTGCGTGCAGTGGGGCAAGCTCGATTGCCGGGTGCTTCTCCGCGCAGCAGAAGGCCGCAGACGAGAGTGTGTCTTAAGATATGGGCCTTTTGGCTTCCCTTTAAACCATGCAAAAGAAATACCAACACAAAGACACGCCCACGTGAAACCATGAGCAGCGCCCACAACAGTACAAAGCCATTGACATGGGGCGCTGGCAACAGAATTGCCAAGGGTACTTTTTGGTATGAAGTCGGGGAACCTGCTAACATGGCGAGGTTTGGCCGCTCACAAGGATTTGCTAGAGCTAAGACCTGGAACCAAGCCCGGCCGCCAATGAAATAAACGGAATCAAAGCATGAAGACCCTGTTGGGTGGCAGCATGTATGTACCACAGACCAACACCATAGACCTATAAGCAATACAACTAGGCAACCATGAACAAACGACCTCATAAAACACAAATCCTAGATACATCATGTCCTCAAAACTCACAGACCATTGCGAAGCCAACGGACCTTGGGCAAAGCCTATGTGTCATTTGTTGCTTGTTGACACCACCTTGGGCCCCTGGACTACCCTTCTGTGGTGAAATCCGAACCCCGACATGCATAGGTCCCAGTGCTCTCTCCCCCGACCGAACCGGACAGCTCTTGCCTTGAGACTGAGGTTTCCGACAGCGAAGCGGCCAGCCCCTCCCCTGGCGAACTGGGAGGATTTCTTTCGCACAAACTTCACCGTGTTGCTTTGGTGGTCAATTTGCAACTTTCCTTAATGACCCCCCTGCAGATGTCACGTGATTCGGGGGCAATTCACAACTTGTGGAAATACATCGGGGATTTCTTCCTGAGGGGCCAAATGGGGGCGGTTGACTCCCCTTGAGATGCACGTGGTTTTTGAGTGAATTCACCATTGCCAAAATCTTGGGGATTTCTTCCTGAGGGGCCCACCAAATGTGAGACGAATTGACTCAGACCTCCAGATTTCACGTTGTTTTTTGGGGGGAGCTTTCTACAGCTGGAGCCCGTCCCCAAATTCCACACCTCTTAAGGGAGGCCTTAGGGCACGTCACAATAGCACCTACACGGAAAAACATGGCCGCGGACTTCTTGGCTTTGCAAAAGTCGTTTCTGTGATACCGGAGTTGGATGGGCGAGCGCTTCTTGCCTTTGGGTCCGCGCTTCCGGTGCCACCCGGGGCCCCCCTTTTCGTGTGAGGGAGGGGTTGGGCCCCAATGTTGGAGCAGGTGTCTTATTTTCTCCGGCTGCCGATAGATTGACAGCGCCATACACGTCTACTTTGTCGGAAAGTTTAAGGTGATTCCCTCTTGGCATAGAAACTGGGCCCAAACCACGCATGTCCCACTCTGGAGCAAATCCTTCCTGGCCCAAGAGGACGGAACGCACAGGTCGCATGACCCCGTTGGAAGAGAAGCTTGATTGAGCTGATCCTTACATCGGCTAAAGGTGGTTTCGGCAAACCTCCAGGTTCTTCTTATAGAAACCCCTCCCGAAACAAACCACCAAACAAAAGGTACCCTCAAAAAACACAGACCCAAATGAAGAAGACCCGGACAAGGATGCTCAATTTCTCCGCGGATGAGCTAAACCTGGATGGACAGTAATGTGGTTCCTAGTTCCGGGGCCATTTTACGTCCCGGGGCAAGCCTGGTTCTGTGTTGAACAACTTAGATCTCGATTGCCCTTATTCCGAAAAAAATAGAACACTGGATAATACAAGGGAACAAATCATTACACGAATGATTCTCTCATGATCATGACTTCATATGGCTATAAATCGCCCCGTTTTCCCATTCTAACTATTTTTGACCGAACCCCGAGGATGTCGCAGCAATTCGATCGACTCGGCCCACATCTCCCTCGCGCCTTCGCTGTCCGTGTCGCTGCCTGTTGCCTGGAGCCAAGGGAAGAAGTTTAGTGAACTAAGTGTATATAGAATACCCCAGAAATGTCCACTGGGGCAGACAGATCCGAGCAGTAACAACTTTTGCGGACAAGGAAACATGAAGGAAACCCAAAAAGGCAAAAGGGCAAACAAAAGGCTCGTTAAGCCCGGTTGTTCTCAGTTGGAAGAATGGCATCAATGGCCGTTTTGCCCGCCACATCATGAGAAAGATCGAGTCTAGCTTCCCTTCCCAAACCGGCAAGAACCACATCAGATATGCCCTGTCCCCAAGTGGTGTCCCCAAGATGTCCCGGCGATTCGTCGCTGCCTGCGCAGACCAAATGGACCGCCAGCGGAAGCCCCGATCCGAGGACGTGGAGCTCTCCTGGATCGGCTGGAAGGAACCATGAGGAACCATTCATAGGAACTCATTCTTGGTTCCATGATGTTTTTTGGAGGAACCATTGATGAGGAACCCTTCATTGTGGTTTCCCTCGAGAGGATCACGATTCACTGACACAACCCCTGATTGGGTCTCTGCTGAGCAACCAAAAAAGCCATTGAGTCCCTGAGCACCAGCAAGAACCCCGTGATAGGTGGTTGATTCCCATCGGTGGAGTCCCTTGGCCGCTAGAAAGTGGACACCTAAAACCACAGGTCCACAAGCATGCCTCCCGAATTTGGGTCCATTCAAATCCGCGCCGAAACGAAGCTGAGTCGTAGCCATTTGCCGCTAAGGTCAACATAAGAAATGCAATACAGCCAGCAAGTCCACAAACGTCAAGGTTTATGCTTGAATGGCGGCCGATTCTAATCACCTCAGATTTGGGTTTGGGGAAATAGATGGCCCTGGCAGATGATTAAGCCAGAAAGCGAGGAATCGCCATCTATTTTTCTAGCAAAACAACCAAAAAGGACATCTATGAAAACAGGAGTATCCCAACAGCCGTGTCACCTTCCCGAAGCGCGCCCACAGCATCGCACGGCTCCCGCAGCCCGACAAAGGACATTCTTTGTTCGGGGCACGCGCATGATTGACTCGCACAGACTGCCAAAGAGAAAAACATCCATTTCTGGCTTCCAACAAATATCACGCGGAAGGCATCACACTATGTACAATAGTTCTGATTTTAAGGAACCCCAAGAAGGCAACCATCATAGGGCAGCTCTTTTTGCCCCAGGCGAGCTTGTCATAGTTGTGCCAATCTTTGCGCATATATGCAAATAATTGTATGAGGCTCAGCAAAGCTTCGTGTGCGGCTCGGAACTGAACATGTTCCTTCCCAAGTCTGAAACAAACAACGGGTTTGTGTTTGGACTTCCCGTGAAACTCGTCTTCCTTTGAGAGCAGTGCTTCGTCTTTTGGTCCAGCGACGATCACCGTGACATCTTGCCTTGGTCCCTCCACGTTGCACCGGCTGCAGTCGCCCTGACCTGGGCAACGTGCAGCAGCTTCACCGCTAGCTTGGGCTCGTCCTTTGCTGGTTGGTACGTTTTTCCTTTTGGTGGGTTCTCCAAGGGTGACCAAAAGGAAACCTACACAAACCAGCCATTATGGGAGGCGCCCCATCTTCAGCCATGGTTTTGCTTTTCAAGTCAAACGGCCGGGCCCTCAAGTCAATCACCTCCGCCGCCTTCCCAAAGTTCATCCGGAGGAAACTCTTGCACCGACCCCCCACCAATAGCTTGACTCTTTGGTGCCATCTTCTATGTCTGGCAGGCCTGGAAGCTGGAAGCTGTTCTCAGATGTCCCGCTAAAAGCTCAGCCTTTAGTGGGCGAACTGGGAAAATCAACCACTAAACACCGAAAAAGCCAACAAGCCAAAAGCTAAGGAACCGGATGCCTGGGGGCCATCAAGTTGAGAAGTTTGGCCGGCCAAGACTCAGCTGACAAATGCCTTCGGGTCCAAGATTCCATGCCAACGACCCTTCAAAAGGCAATGGATTGGTCTCAAGACTCTCTGAGTATCTGGCGGCTGAGATTCTTTGGACTTTCTCATGTCCGTTGATTTCGCCAAATATAAAACCCTATCCCCACTAAACTGGGTGGTTTCCCCGGCTCCAAGTCCACAAACTTGAAAAACAACTAGGCTCAAACCACGGAAACCCCAGGCTGAGAACTGTGGGTTCTCCCACGTCTTGCGTGGACTGGACCAAAACAAGTCCGAACTTTGTGCTTGCCATCCCAAAAGGCTCCAAGCCCAGAGTTTCTGTGCAAGTTGCCAACTGAGCAAACAAATCAAAGCCATCAAAGAGACTTCTAACTTATACAAACACACAACCACACAACCACACAACCACACAAGCACACAAGCTCATGCACGAACGGACAAGCCAACCAAAACGGAGTCCTCCTTCAATTCCCCGGCGAAACGACCCCCCCCCGAATCTGCAGGCTGGTTTGGGTTCCGCGCCCTGGATGCCACGCAGGCAGCGGCACCTCCTCCCAGGCATTTTGCCTCGGAAAGGGCCGAAGGGGAACTGGGACGAGGTCCATGGCCTGGTCCAATGTTTTCCTCAGGCGTACAAAAGTTGGAAAAACAATACACACCAATAATAGAGATGACATGTTATTTGAAGACAACACACACCAATCTTTAGAGATGAACATTTTACTTTATGGGGGAAACTGAGTGGTTCGAGCCTGCTTTCCCTTCTCACAAACCAGCTTTCAAAATGCACAAACACTACATGAGCGCCGAACAAAATTACGAATGCTTTCCCGAGAGCGCATGCAAACAATAGGCTGTCCCCTCTCATCCTCGTCAAGCCAAGACTACCAACCACTTGCTGGCCCCATATGAACTATTCTGCAACTATCGACCAGCTTGAGGCACATTTCCGCATTGCAGCCAGTGACCCCAAGCGGAGCCGTTGAGAATTTTAGTGGAAGAACCTTCTCCAAGCTGTTGTTTTGGAATCTAGTTTCACGTGTTAGTCACAAATCTCACGGTTGGTTTCACTGGGTTCATGAAGTTGCTGAGGGTCGCTCACAAAAAAACACATTTCTGGGATCTCTACTTTCAGCCACTTAAAGTGGTTTCTTTTTGAGGGTGGTGAAAAGTTATGTTGGGTCCCGGTGGGTTCCCTTCAAGTCACCAGAGAGCTCGAGTAATTTTGATATCACATCCGAATGGCCCCAGTGGCACCAGGCCCCCGCACCAATTCATGCGGCAGAAAGAAGCTGCAGTGTTTGTCGGCACGAACGTGGGTCGCAATGGCAAATGAAACCCAGGCGCATGGATATGCTGACGTCAGAGTTTGGGGAAATGTCAAGCTCTGCATGCGCCTGGGGCCTCTTTTTCTTGAGTACTTGGGAAGGAGCCATGCTGCTCTATGCGAGATACGGAATATGCAAAAGCTTCCTGTGGAAAATTGTGCGTCCCGCGATTTGTGTGCCTGAAAATGAGTGAGTCCTGCATGTCTCAAAACTGAGTCTGAGATGTGTTACTCTAACCAACCGTCATGCGAATTGACACAACAAAATATTTCCCGGTGCCAAGGGTAACTTTCCATTTTCGATTTCACGCCCCGTCTCTGGATTCACGGCGCGGCGACGGCGAATAGGCCGAGGATTCTGTAGACTCTCAACGGGGTTAATCAACAACGCCAAACAAGAATGCCTCCGCGCCCTTTTCGTCTTTGAGGAAATCGGGGGAACCTCCAAAGCTTCAAAAAAAAAAGGCCTTCAACCAGCAAAGCCAGTCATAGCGCAGTTGCTCAGAGTCGCGTGTCAAACGTGACTTGAACATCCAATTTGCCAAGGTTCACCTTGCTTGCTTGTATCACAGGTGCTTCTGTGCCCGATAGAGAACCTGGGAGTCAACATAGTGGGTTTGGACAATTGAAAAGTCGGTCTTGAGGCTTGCTTTAGGAGCATTGGCGAATTATTCACCAGGAATCCAGAAGATGCCTTGTCTCTTAGCCGCTCTTCTCATGGCCTAATTGTGTTCATTGCGAAAACATCGCTTGAAGATCCTCAGCCAAGATCTCTTCAAGAACTGCCACAACTTGCCGTTGGACACCCGTGTCTCTGTGTGTGTGTGAGAGGGACGAATCACCTGGGAACGAAAAGAAGAACACAACGGGTGCTGCGTTCCCTTGGACTCTCTGTTGCCCGCCAAACCACTTTCAGGGCAAACAGGTCTTGGTCCTGAACTTACCTTTTTGACATCACTTGTCTTAAAGATAAAATAAATCGAACTCTCTATCCCCACCCACAGTCAGTCCCATAAGTGACAAAATGGGTTGGCCCAAAAGCAGAAGTCTCGAGGAAAACTGGCCGCCCCCATGGCCTACTATGTCTCTTCTGCTTGGACTCAAGGCCTCGAGTCTGTTGCAAAAAATACTTCGAAGCGACTCTTGGGGTGGGATGTTCACAGTTACGTTGGGGCTGGATGCGATTTGCAGCAGCATCGTAAGATAGACCCTACCAAATGGGAGCCATAAAATTCTCCGACTGTGAGGGGGCCCCGTTGACCCCTAACCTGCTTTGGAGCCCATCAACCCTAGGGTTCAAGCCCCACTACAAGAAAGGATCACCCAGTTTGGATGACAATCCTTAGATAAGCAATGGTGGTTATATGGCTGTGGGTCAAAAATGGGTACCCGTTTTGGGAACCCTGGTAAATGGGAAAATGGACCAAAAGCTGCGGTCCCCTGGTGGTTTAATTTTGACCCATACCCATATGAACCCCCATGGCTTTAATGATGGATTGAACCCCAGGTCAAAAGATAAAGATAATGTTCTTCTCCTGATCCTTCCCGGCGGAGTTGGAGTCTCCCAAAGCGCATGTTTTGGCTGCGCTGCACGTCTGCCAACCCTACTGCTCAGGCCCCACTCAGCCTGACGACCGTTTCCTTCCCAAAGGGCCAAAAGCAGTTGAGTCAAAACTTGGTACTCCCAGGTGACTCAAGTCCTGATAACAAGTCGGCTAAAGTGTGGTGAGTTTGCTTGGCCACCCATTGCTTAAGTCCCGTGGAGAAAACAACATATTTCCAACAGTGATAGATCCCCTTTAAAACCAACAGGGGAAAGCAACAAATATTCATTTCAGCAAATAGAAGCCCGCGAACCTCCGATTCGAGATGGTCCCTTGGCGAGTCTGGAGCCCAAATGCCAAGCCCGGAATCTTGGCGGCTCCGAGCGATAAATGCCGACGGCACGTTCCCGACCCGACGTTCAGAGGGCCTTCGTGTTTTTATTTTGTGTTTTTGTCTGGTACGGATGCCTTTGCCTTTTCTCCTGGGCCAATTACTGCAATTCGCAACCGGACATGAGGAATCCTCCAAGCAAGGAACCTTCGTCATGTGTGAGCAGGGTGTGTAACGCAGCTATCCGCAGCAATCAATTGCCCAGTGGTTTTGTTCCGGGAGTGTCTTCCAGGCGTTGGCCGATGTTGGCGCTTCTCAGGCTTCGAGTTTTTAAAACCCAACCTAGCATTTGATCTCTTGCACGAGTCTGCCTTGCATAGGATACACTCTTCATGAGATGGAGGTCACCCCGCTCAAGTGCGTTGGTGGCTATTGCTTGCACGCCCTGCTCAAATGCGTGTCCAACTCTTTGCCGGGGTCGATGGATGACAATTCGGAGGGGTCAAGCAAGAAGACAATTTTTGCTGATTAGTGGGGTGAACTTCAGAGTGGGCGAACCCCTTGTTGAGACATGTTTCAGTCCGTGTGAACAACCACTTTGTCTGGCTTTCTTTTAAAGAAACCAGGCCCCCCTTCAAAAACATTTTGCCCACCCCTGGTGAGCATGACACATCTCCACCAGGCAAAGTTCATGGAGGGAAGTGCCGTCTCAAGTTCTGGGCCTTCCTCGTGCCCGGTCGCTCAGTAATTCTTATTGATCACCAACGCCTTCTCCTCGTGGAGACGTGGGTAGCTCAGGGGTGGATTCCCCAGTCTTCAGAAGCCAGCGGTTTTAAAGAAGGATCCCTGGAAAGAATGGGGCAACTACCCTTAGAAGCTCAGTCCCCAAGCATTACCCTGAGTCAACACCCCAAAATACGGGAACGCCAGATGCACTAACGTAACATCCTCCAAACCGGTTCAAGGGAAACCACCGCTGCAATTGCTCTTGAGGTAGGTGTGCAGGCCATGGATCAAGAATCATGTGACACCTGAACAAAATTACCAAGAGGACATGGGACATTCTGGCGGCCCTTGCTGGTTGTCGGAAAATTGGGTGGGGCCCCAATCCTCCCAAACTAACGATAGAGTACCAGCAGTTTTGAAGTGGCTCCTGCAAAGGTGATGCCTACCCTCTTACAAATGAAACCAGAACAAACAGTGAAGCTTGAGATAAGAATGATCCTTTGGCGGATTCCTTTTTGGGTTCCATGCCCCAATCTGCAGAGAGTAGAATATCTGTTAGACAGACTGAGCTGGGGAAAAGCTCCAGCACTTCTAGCAAGCCCCGAACCAATGGTGAAGGTCCCATAGGGTTTCCTGAGCTCCTGTTAGCCAATGATATTGATATTGCCCTAAAAGCCCAAGACCCTAACTGTGAGGGACCACAAGCGAGGTCTTGGACCCGGGTTAGTTCATACAGATTTCTGTTCTGTATTCTTTGCATGAACAAGACTATCTGAAATCAACGACAAGCTCAGTAGAGTAATGTTTCAAGGGGTGATATTCCCAGCCTTCCAAGAGTGCATGAGACATTGTGCTAGTGAGGTGCAAAGAAGCCATTTCACACTCAGTCGCATTTGGCCTGGTTTCTCCAATCGCATTAGAACAAATGGGCGGGAATGGACCCTGTCCACCTTTCGACAACCTGCAGCCTCACTTTTTTGCGTCAGATGCAAATTAACTGAGGCGGTCCCCTGCACAAAGCTCAAGTGCTATCCAGTTTGTGAGATCACGTTTATTTTCCAGAAGCTCGGGTTCGGCT